CTCGCTCCCTCCTTGCCAGCCACACTCCCTCGCCGCCCTCCCCCCCGCCCCACAGGCTCCTTGCCAGCCGCACTCCCTCCCGCCGCCGAGCCGCCCCGGCGACCCCCCTCCGGCAGGTGCTCGACCACCACCCGCCCCAGACGCGCCGCCACTTCGTCGCCACCCTCCTCGCCGCCGCCCTCGCCCCCAGTGGGCACCACACCGTCGCCGCGGACGGCGCCACAGGCACGGGCGTGCGCATCCTGTCGCTCCTCTGCGCACAGCGGCCGCTCGCGCTGGTCGAGCACGGCGCGGCGCTCTACGAGGCGCTGCTCCAGGCAGGCGGCGGAGGCGGGGGCGCCCTCTCGAGCAGCCAGCTGTGCGCGCTGTGCCAGAGCCTCGCCGTGGCGGCGGCGCGCGCGCCGCGGCTCCGCAGCTCGCTGCTCGTGTACCTGCAGAAGCACCTCTTCGGCGGTCGCACCCAGGCTGCGCCCAACCCGGGCGACGCCGTGGCGGGCGGCGGCGGGGGAGGCGCGCTCTCGGTCGCTCTCTGCCTGGCGGAGGCCATGATCGAGTGCACTGGTCCCGAGCCGCGCGTGCACGGAGACGACGACGACGACGACGACGACGACGACGAGGCCGGGGGCGACCGGCTCGCGGTGCTTCGCTGGCTTGTCCAGGCGGCACCTCTGGCACGCGGGGCCGATGCGGGCGCCGGCTGGCTGCTGGTGCGGCGCCACTTGGCGCTGCTTGCTCCGCCAGAGGTGGCCGGCCGCGCCACGAGCCTTGCCCACGGCTCATTTCCGTCGCGGTACCACTGCTGACTCGCTGCAGGTGCGGGCCCTCCGAAGCGATGCCCTGCCGCGCGCGCTGCGGCGAGCAAGCCTCGAGCTGCTGATGGAGCCGCGGCGCCCCGGAGCTGTGGCGGACTCCCGCACTCCGCAGCTGGCCGGGGGGGGCGACCGCGTCCTCACGCCCTTCGTCTCCGCCGCCGCCGCCGCCGCCTCGGGCCATCTGTGGCTCCCGCCGCTGTGCGCGGTGGGGGCGTACTCGAGCCGCTCCCGCCCCGCGATGCAACCACTCTCACGGAGACGCGTTCCGGCTCCTTAGGCGGCAGCCCGCGAGCCACATTCGCTGCGAGCTGCGTCTGCGCTCCTGAACTGTGCCGCCGCCGCCGCCGCGCTGGTCGACCCGCGTGGCGGTGCAGAGGTGGCGTGGGGTGCATCTCGCCTCACGTTTGGCGTCCCGCCGGCTGACGCGGCGCTGGAGGCGGCCTTTCGTGCTGAGATGGCTGTCGAGCGGCCGAGCACCGCCCCCGCCGCGACCGGCGAGGAAGGGGGCGGTGACGTTGCGATGCTCGGGGAGGCTGGGCGAGCAGCGGGCGGCTCCGCACTGGCGGGCGAGGGGCCGGAGGCAGACGGCGGCGCGGAGAGTGGAGTGCCGACGGTGACGCGACTCTCTAACCCAGGTCATGCCTGACTCTCGAAGGCGCGACGCCCGAGCGCGGGATCCATCGCACGGCTCGCGACCCTCGCCACCGCCGCCGCCTCGCTTCTCGGCGGTGCCTTGGGGAGGGGCGCCAGTCCGTGGCTCGCCGCGTACCCGTCTCATCCTAGCCGCCCCTCTGCTGTCAGGCCAGCTCGCCGCGTGCGGTGCCAACACTTTGCTGCCGGGCATCAGATCTTGCGGCGCAGTGGCTTCTCGCTCCCTCGCCCCGGAGTTTGTGGAGGCGCTTCGGCAGCGGCTCTACTTGGAGTCTCTCGCCGCCACGGCGGAGCGGCGGCTCGCCGAGCTCGCAGCCCCGCGCCACGCCCCCGGCGCGCCCAAGCGCGCACGTTCGCCGGTGCCGTCGACCGCCGCCGCCGCCGCGGCGACGTTTCGAGATGAGGTGTGCGCGTTGCGATCGCTTGCAAGCGCCGGGGCGACGCTGCCGCCGCGCATGCTCGCTGCCGCCCTGTCGTCGTTGGTTCCGCTCTGCGGTGGCGACGGCGCCGTCAGCGCCCACGGCGTCGTGACCGAGGATGAGGCGCACGCACTCGAGGCCGCGGCGGCCGCCGGGCGCGAGTCGACGGGCGTGTGCGACTTGTCTCTGCTGATTGCCGTCTTGAGCGAGCTCGGGTCAGCGCTTGACGAGGCCGGGACGTCGCCTACGGCCACGGAGGCTGCGACCGAGCCGCCTCCGCCCGCGGAAGTTGCTGCTTCCTCTTCTGCTGCCGCTTCTTCCTCCTCGGCTGGCGCGGGATCCAGCGGCGGCGGCGGGAGCGGCAGGGGAAGCGGCAGGAGTGTCGGCGGCGTGGACAGTGGCACAGACAGCGGCGTCAACGACGTCGCTCGCGCGTGCCTGCCTCGACTGCTCGCGGCGACAGTGCCGCTGCACGCGCGGACCGAGGCGGAGCGCAAGGCGGCCGCAGGCGCCCCTAGCGGTGGGGGCCGGCAGGGTGCCGAGGGTGTGTACCGGCGCAGCGTCGAGGCGCTGGTGCGCGGCTACCAGCTCCTCTGCCGGATCCTCGATGGCGAGCGGCTCGTGCGCGGGGTGGACACGCTCGAGGAGAGCCTCTCCGGGACGGTGCCGCCCAGTACCGACGTGCGATCCATCGCCGCTGGCCGCGACGGGTCGAACACGACGCTCGCGGCGTGGGCCTCGCAGCTCTCGGCGCAGGCAACCTCGCTGTCCGAGCCGCATGCCGCCGTCGCTGCGCTCCTGGCGGCGCGTGCCCTCGCGCCGACGCCAAACGAGGAGGGCGCCGCGGGCGGCCGTGGCGCCAGCTCGCCGTGCGCGCGCGCCAATCGCGCCCTGCAGCGCGCCGCCATCACGTGCTTGCGAGCCGTCTACCCGCTCCGGCGGGCGGAGCTGGCTCGGCTGCTGCCGCCACTGCCTCAGGAGGTCGCACGGTCGCCCGCCACGGCCGCAGCCATGTCCGCCGCCCTCCGCTGCCCGAGCGCGCGGCGCAACGCCGCGCTGTGCGGACTGATGCAGGTTGCGCTCCTTGCCACGCCGCCGTTGCGCCGCGCGCACACCCTTCGCGCTCTTCTCGCCGCCTGCCGCGAGGCGGCCACGGCGGCCGGCTCGACGAGGGCTGCAAGCCGGCCTCGCCGAGAGCCGGTGCCGCTGCTGAGCGGCGGCGGTGTCCACGCGGGGCTCCTTCTATGCGCGGCACACGTGACGGCCGCTGCGCGCGCGGCCATCCCGCTCGTCGCCACGTCGCTGCAGCGCTCCGCCGCCTTCGCGGCGCGGCTGTATGCGCTCGGCGCCGACGCGCTCTCCCTGCTCGCGCTGGCGGTGCGGGCGGAGTCCGCCGGCCGCCGCCCCTCGGGCGAGGCCGGAGCGGCGTGCGCCGTGTGCGCGCAGCTCCTCGCGGTCTCGCGCGAGCTCCTACTCGCTTGCGTCGACGCGCGCTGTCAGCCTGGCGTCTCGGTCAGCCGCTCTGCCCTGTCGCCTCCGCTGGCGGGCGCGACTTGCCTCGCCCGTCAGGCGCGCCGCTTCGCCAGCGGGCTCAAGCGGGACGGTGAGGCGGCTTGTGCTCCACCGCATCGCGAGGCGGAAGCCGAAGCCGAGGCGGAGATTGGCGAGGCGGCGGCAGCGGACCCGGGTGGTGCGCCCCGCACCAACCGCAGGGCGACAGGCTCGAGGGGCCAGCAGCCGGCCGCCAAGCGGCGCTCCTCTCGCGTCGGGGGCCGCGGTGCGACCACGGCTCGCTCCTCCACCGCCGGGGCGCGCCGAGCCCTGCTTTGAACCACCCAAGCGCTCTCTGCTCACCTCGCACTTGATTCGTGCTCAGGGTTCGGCTGGCGCGGACAATAGCAGCAGCAGCAGCGAGACGGAGGACAAGGAGAAGGAGGCGGCTGTCCCGCGCGCGAGCGTCGGCGGGCGGGCGCGGCTCCGCGGCGTCGGCGGGGTGCCTCGGCTGCTGCTCCGGCTCGACGAGCTCGAGCTCTCCCTCCTCGACGTGCGAGTCAAGCACCACGTGCCGGAGGGCGGCGAGGGCGGCGAGGGCGGGGAGGCGGGCAGCGAGGCGGCGTGGGTGGCGGCGGGCGGCGCGTCGGCGGACGCTCTGCTCCGACAGCTCGCCGGGGGCGGCGGAGGAGAGCGCCGCCACGTTCTGGCCGCTGCTATGAGCGGCGACGAGGGCAGCGGCGACGAGGGCAGCGGCGACGAGGGCAGCGGCGATGACAGCGGCGACGATGGCAGCGGCGCGGGGGGCGAGAGCGACGCCAGTGGCGGCTGGGACTCGGACGGCGACGCGGAATCGGCGCAGCATGCTCTCGGCGGAGGCAACTCCCTCGTCGCTGCGCTCGGCGGTGAGCCGCTAGCCGGCGCGGCGGGGGAGGAGGAGAGTGAGGACGACGGGTACTCCGTCTCCTCCGAGACGGAGGACGGGTTGTCGGACGAGGACGAGGGCGACGACGCTGGCGATCGCTGGACCGCGCGCGCCGCGGCGGGCGCCCTGGCCGGGAACTTGTGGCAGGGGGCTGAGTCCGAGGACGGGTTTGGACAGACGGTGGTGGTACGGTTCGGAACCAAGCGGGGGCGCGAGGAGGAGGCCGCGTAAGTACGATTAGTGTATTTCAAACGTTGGAGTTGTGGTGGCCCGTCCCGGCCCGCCCCCGGCCCGCATTGCGAGAATAGTCCGAGGAAGTCGCGACTGTGGCCGGGTGGCTGCTACCCGGCCCCCTGCCCGCCTCGAATGTGCGCAATGTCCCCAACGTGCTGCTGCACACTGCGGGGAGGCTGCGCTGCCCGCTGCGCGCTGGCCGCCCTGTTGCTCCCCGGCCGTGTGCTTCCCGCGTGCATATCCCGCAAAATGACTGTGGTCCCCGCGCTGTCGGAGCCTCCGGCGCAGCAGCCCAAGGGAAATTGGAAGACAAGGAAACCCGAACTCATCCGTGAGCTCCAGTTACATCCGACCGTCAACAGAAGAGTTCGCTTTGTTATCGGCGGGCACTCGCTGCTACAGAAGAGCAAGGCAATTGCTCGTCCCACGAGACGCCCCAGCGCAACTGCCCTCAGTCTCGTGAGCAGCGTGAGCTCTTCCTCTCGACGCGCTGAGCCTCAGCCTGCGCAACACTATGCTAGTCGTACTCAGCACCCTCGCTCTCGCCGCCAGCACCAGTGGGCCCGTCGCCGCCAGTTGGACCTCCCGTACGATCCATCAGGTGAGCCGGGCAGCACCCCGAATCGCCTCCCATCGCTGCACGTGATGAAGCAACTCTTTACTCGCTATCGTGCCCGCTTCCACAGGTCAGACAGCGACAGCTTGCTGACGCCGACGTCGCCGACTGGTTTGCGCCCATCAAGAATGGCATAAACCTCGACGTGGCACGGCCGAGCAGCGGCGTCTGGTTCAAGTGGCAGTACGATAAGTCGCAGATGCAGGCGATCGTAGAGGCGGGCTTTGCGTCTGTTCGCATATTCATGCCCTATGCCGCCAAGCTGGAGGAGACGCAAGAACAGATCGAAGACGCGCTGGACGCCGGGCTCTCTATCGTCGTGTGCATGTGGGGCCTCAACGACTGGGCGAGCAACGTGGCGAAGGGCGAGAGGGAGATCGCCAACGGCGGGTCCAACGGCGAAGGGTGGGGGCCGCTAGCCCTCGCATGGAAGGTATGTGCGCCGCCCCGTCCGCTCACAGCACAACCCGTTGCCTGCAGCTACACATACTTCAAATCATTTGCGACGAGCCCAAAACACTCTAAATCTGACGAGCCCACCGCGGCAGGGCTTCTCCAATCGGCTCGTCTTCGAGGTGCTGAATGAGCCAGAAGGCATCGGCTTTGCCAAGACCAGCGCGGGCAACACCAACGCGATGAAGATGTATAACGCGGCGGTGCAGGCTATCCGCAACGCTGATCCCGACCGCCCGATTCTAGTCGGCAGCCCAGGGCTCAACGACGCCGAGCTTCTCGAGTATGTGACCCGGCAGAGCCTCCCGTACACCTTTCTTGACGGCGGCCATTTTCACAACGATCCGAACATGGGCGTGGCGATCCACTTCTACGAGCCGAGGCACCCCTCAATAGTACCTGGCATCACCAACGCGCAGCAGACCAACTTCGCGATGTGGATCGGCAGCCTGACACAAGCGGATTCGGAGTGGCGGGACGGGATCAAGGTGTGGCAAGCGCCGATCAAGCTGCAGTTTGACTTTGTGGACGATTGGCGCAACATGGTGGGCCACTCCAACATCCCCGTCGCAACCACCGAATGGGGCTGCTGGATGTGGGAGAGCCGCAGCCAGAGCGACGACTTCCGGCGGTGGCTCGACTACACAATGGAGCAGTTCGCTGCGCACGATGTCGGCCAGATGTGGTACGTGGGAGTCATGTCCAACCAGTACGCCTACACCATTTTCGACTCGGAGACCGGCTGGGACGCCGCCATACTCCCCAAGCTGACGGGAGAGCAGCCGCCAACGAGTTGGCCGCCGATCAACCAGATGCTCAACGGCGAGTTCCTGCGCACTTCGTGGTCGGACGCGACGCAGGCGCTCCCGTGGGTCGCGACCGGCGTCCAAATGGTGATCATCGACGATTGCCGCGCTGCGTTTGGCACTTACGACTGCGGGGATGCCGGCTTCAGCGGCAGCACCATGCTCAAGCTGGAGGGCACAGGCGGCCAGCTGTCGATTCAGACGTACCCTGCCGGAGATGGCACGACTGGCTCTCCGCCCTTTGAGGGAATCTACGGTCCGCAGGGCCGGACAATGCTGCACCTCACCCAGGGCGCGAGCTACAGCCTGCGGTTCCTCGCCGGCACCAGAGCGGGATCGCAAGGGGTCGTGCGCGCGCGGCTCAAGGCGGCAGGAGGCGCCTTGATCCACCAGTTCAATGCGATCACGGTCTCGGGCCCGCCCACGGCCAGCCACCAACTGAGCTACACTCATAGCGCCGCCGACGCGATGGACGTGCGCCTCGAGTTCGACTTTGGAGCGGCACAACAAGTTATCTACCTCGACAAGGTGGAGCTTATCCGGCAGGCGGGCTCCGATCTGTCGCCGTCGACTGCGCCGTCTCCACCGCCATTGCCATCCCCGCCTCCGTCGCCATCTCCACCGCCATCCGCTGCGCCCTCACCACCACCATCCGCGACACCCTCGCCGCCACCGTCTCCATCGCCTCCGCCATCCGCTGCGCCCTCACCACCACCATCCGCGACACCCTCGCCGCCACCGTCTCCATCGCCTCCGCCATCCGCTGCGCCCTCACCACCACCATCCGCGACACCCTCGCCGCCACCGTCTCCATCGCCTCCGCCATCCGCTGCGCCCTCACCACCGCCATCCGCGACACCCTCGCCGCCACCGTCTCCATCGCCTCCGCCATCCGCTGCGCCCTCACCACCACCATCCGCGACACCCTCGCCGCCACCGTCTCCATCGCCTCCGCCATCCGCTGCGCCCTCACCACCACCATCCGCTGCGCCGTCGCCGCCGCCACCTCCTGCTCCACCGCCGCCCTCGCCGCCTCCGCCGTCAGGGCTGCCGCCACTCTCGCCCTTCCCGCCGTCGCCACCGCCGCCGCCGCCGTCGACGCCGCCGCCCTCGCCGTCGCCACCGCCCTCGCCCTCGCCCTCGCCCTCGCCCTCGCCACCACCGCCGTCGCCGCGGCCAATGCTGACACCACCGTCGCCGGTGCCGGTGCAAATGCTACCACCACCATCGTCCTCGCCACCGCCACCGCCGTCAACGCAGTGCGACCAAGCCCCAATGCAGCTCACGCGCCCCGCCTCTGCGGGCGACACGCAGATCTCAGTCAGTCACCACCGATGCAGCCTTGGTGAGGGCGACACATTCATCCTCGGGAGCGAGACTCTGACTATCACCAGCTTTGACGGATATGACCGCCGTCGTTCGCTCGTTGCCACTGCCCGCTTGCTCTCCGAGACGGATGTCACCGTTTCCTTCACACCAGCACTGACGAGCAACTACCCTGCTAGCTTCACAGAGACACTGTCGGCGCCGTCACCGCCTCTCTCCTCGCCTCTCTCGCCGCCGTCCGGCGCACTCGAGCTCTCCGGAGACGATGGCAGCGATAACTTCCTCCTCCTCCTTCTCGCCGTAATTCTCGCGGCGCTTGTTGGTATCCTCATCATCGTTGTCGTTTTGGTCGTCTTTGTGCGGCGCGCCGGGGAGGCTCGCCAGGCTGAGCGGCAGCAAAGGGGGAAGAGCCCCGCAAGCTCGCATGGCGAGCGGGCGAGCGTTCACGCGTATCTCTAGCCTGGAGAATCATGGCTAGATCAGGTGACAGTGCGCGCGTGCCGAAGCGAGCAGCGTGGCGAACGACCCTGGTCGAGTGTGTGTGTATTATCAATTGTGCATGTGCCATGCGTGTCGGGTGCGTGTGTGTGTGTGTGTGCCATGCGTGTAGTGTGTGCTGGTGGGTGGTGTGTGTGCTGGTGGGTGGTGCTCTAATGCTCACTCATGTGCGTCGTGTGTGATCTGCTGTGTGTACTCTGTACGTGTATGTTCTCGTACGTCATGTGTGTTAGTGCGCGTACCGTGGATCTCGTGTGTGTGTTTGGTGCATGATGTATGGTGTGCGTGCCTGTGGGTGGCGTTCGACAGTTTTAGGTCTGGCACGTATGTGTGGTGCAGTCGGCCGTCGAGATAAATTAAAAATGGTCAAACTCTGAGACGAGATGGGAGATTTAAAAACGGATTTAGACATTTAATAAGCGAGCAAGCGCGATCCTCGGGTGTGCCGGAGTCGACCGCGGTTGCGCGGACCGGTCGAGCGTCGTGTTATTTTTTGCTTGTGAACGTATATGGGCGTGCGATGCCGGAGAGGATAAGAGGTAACCACAAGCCGCTACCCACAAGAGGTACGCACGCACACGAGCTCCCAACGAATATGTTGAGCACCAGACCCTCCTCAGCTCGCGCAATTCGACATGAAAGCGAGCAAGCAGAGGTTGGAGTGGATGGGCTCCTGCAGCTCGCACCAGCCAGCCTGCTGGTGCTCGCGCAGCGCGCGCAACGCCGGCATCGCCGCCGGCGTGGTGAGGAGCGCCTCGCCGTGCAGCCGCAGCAGCACGTGCAGAATGGCCTGCACGAGTTCAAAGTCGCGCCGCGTTTGCAGCTGCCGCACCAGCAGCGCGAGGGCGAGGACGAGCATCCGGCCGGAGTCGTCCTCCCCGAGCGCGCGGATCTCGAGGTCGAGCGCCGACGGCCCCAGAGTGAGCAAGTAGTCGGTCACGGCGCTCGTCGCCGCCGCCGCCTCGCTGCTGCCGGCCCCTTCTCCAGCACCGCCGTCGCCACCGCCCGGCCCGAGCGACAAATGAGGCTCGGCTGCCAGCAGAAGCGCGCAGAGCGCCGAGTGTGCGCCGAGACCCTGCTCCCGCATCCGCCGCGCGCGCGCGCGCTTCGCCTTTGGCCCGTCGCCCTCTTCGGCCTCGGCCGGCGCCGGAGCCGCAGACGCGAGCAGCTCAGCCGACGAGGCGGGCATCGAGGCGGCGGCGGCGGCGGGGTCGGAGGGGTCGACGAAAGTGCGCTCGACGCCGTCAAGCGAGGGCAGGAAGAAGGGCGCGAGCGCCGGCTTCTTTGGCGGCTCGACCGGCTTGTTCCGCTCGTTGATCGCGTCGAGGTTGACGAGCGCGTTCACGTGCGACGCGGGCAGCCGCGAGAGGGTGAAGAGGCGAGGGTGCAGCTGCGACTCATTCTCCGAGAGCGAGGGCAGCGCGCCGCCGCCCTCCTCGCCGCCCAGCTCCGCCTCCTCCATCGGCTCGTCCTCGCCCTCCTCCTCCTCCTCCTCCTCGCCGTCGCCCTCCTCGTCCTCCGACTCGTCGCCGCCGTCGCCTCCCATCGCCGTCGGGAGCTGCAGCGGCGTCGGCCGCGTGTCAGTCACTGCGCCGATGAGAACCTCTTCGAAGAGCGGCCGCGACGCCCACACGCAAATGGCCTGGCTGTCGACGTGCGCCGTGCAGAGGAACTCACCCCCGGGCGAGACGGTGATCGACGTCGCCGCGTACTCAAACGAGTACCAGCCGATGAGCGCGCCGGACGGCACGTCGACGACGCGCCTGTCAAATGCCAAGACCGACTCCCTCAGGGGAGGGGCGGGCGCTCGGCAGGTCCACGCCTCGGCCGGGCGGCGCACAGCGTACAGTCGAGCGCCGACGAGAGGACCCAGCGCGCGTCGGCGCCCCACGCGACGTCAGTGAGCGTGTTCGTGTGCCCCTCGAGCCGCCGCACGAGCCGCAGCGCCACCGCGTCCATCACGCGGACCGAGAGGTCGTCGGCGGCGAGGGCGACGAGGGTCGAGTCGCGCTTGTGGCGCAGCATGCCGCACGCGCACCCGACGTCCGCCGTCGACTGCAGCTTGAGGGCGGCCGGCGCCCACAGGCGCAGCGTCCCGTCCCCGCCGCAGGAGAAGAGGGTGCGCCCGTCAGCCGCCGCGGCGAGGCCGCGGACTGCGCCCTCGTGCCGCTCCTCGGCGGCGGCGGCGGCGCGCGGCTTGCCCGACTGCAAGTTGTACCTGCGGCGGCGGCGAGGCGGGCACGCGGCTCGGTCCCCTTCCCCCCCTTCTCAGACCGGCGGGACGAGGGCCGGCCGGGATGGGGCGGCGCTCACTTGTCGATGGCTCCGATCGCCGAGCCGAGAAAGGCGAAGTTGCCGCACGCCGAGATGGCGACGGCGGTGATGGGCGCCGCCGGCCGCGCGGCGAGCGTGTGCGGCGCGAGCGCCTTTGTGGTCGTGTCCCAGCTGTAGGCGACCGGGCTGCCGGCGTGGCACGTGACCACATTCGCCCTATGGCTCGCGGCCCGCCGGTGATCACACACGCGACTCTGCGCAAGACCGCCCTCGCCCGCCTCGCCCCGCGCCAGTCTCGCTCGCGCCGCTGCGACGATGCGAGCGCGAGGACCGGCGGCAGGCGCCGCTCCCGCACGCTCGTCTCGTGCATCGAGCGCCGCTTCGTCTCGCGCCCCTGCGACAGCTCGCAGTCCTGCTGCGCCGACCAGATGGAGCTGCGCCGCAGCGTGCGGTCGCCTCCTGCGGAGAGGAGGTGCGTCTGCCCGCCTGCACGGGGAGAGGTGCGCGGACGTGTCATCGGCGTGTGCTCGACGGGGAGAGAGGGAGGCGCGTCCGCCCACCCGGCCCGCCGCCCACGTGCAGCTCGTCGTCGTGGAAGCGGACGAGCGTCGGCGGCGCCGCGTGCCCCGCGCGGCCGCGCAGCGCAGAGAGCTCGCCAGAGTGTAGGTCGCTCGACCACATGCGGAGAGAATTGTCGGCGGCGCCCGCCGTGAGCAGCTCCGGACGGCCGCGCAGAAAGTGGCACGAGGCGACGCCGCCCTCGTGCGCGCACGGCTCGAGCGAGAGTCGGGCGCGCCTGCGGGACGTGTACTGGACGCGTCCCTCTGGTGCCCCCTCGGGCTCGGCTCTCGCTCTCTCCTCTCGAGAGAAAGCAATCGCGCGCCGCTCGAGGTGCCAGACATGGAGCGCGCCCGAGGCGGCGCCGGAGACGAGCCACGGCTGGCCGTCGGTCCGGAAGGCGAGGCAGCGCACCTGTTGGGGAGGAGCGACGACCGTGGGCGGGCGAGGGGGCGGCGGGCGAGGGGCGGCGGGCGAGGGGGCTGCGGGCGAGGGGGCGGGCGAGGAGGGGGTGGCGCGCCGCGTCTCCGTGCGTGTGGCGCAGCTCGAGGAGAGTCGTGTCGAACTTGAGGTTGTGGAGGAGCAGGCGGCCTACTCACGTCCCTCGGCCCATTCCTCAAAGGAGGGTGGTGGCGAGCTCCAAGCCGGTGGAGCAGCAGCAGGCCGTCTGCGAGGCCGACGCCGACGACGTCGAGCGCGGGCGACTGCTCGAACGCCGTCACCGCCGCCCTCCACCCGTGCTCGAACTCGTGCACCCGCTTGCTCGAGCGGAGGTTCCACAGCTGCGGGAACGCGGGCGCGGCAGAGGGCGGTGAGGAGCGGTGTCGGGAGAGGTGTCGGCAGAGGTGTCGGGAGAGGCCTGCATTCGCCCATCCGGCGCGCCAAGCAGCACCTTGTTGAGGTAGGTGGCCGGGTGGCAGAGCGCGCTGGCGGCAAATCCAGGGTGGAGGCGGCCGGCGACCTCCCCCGAGGGGAGCTGCCAGGCGACAAGCAGCCCAGTCGCGTCGACCGACACCACGCTCGAGCCCATCGCGAGCAGGTGCCGCACGGGTGCCGTGTGCTCGCCCTCGAGCGTTGCCACCAGCTCCGCACGCTTGTACACGACCACGGCGGTCCCGCAGGCGACGAGGGTGTAGTCATCGTGCGCGCCGAGCGCGGTGATGCCTGCCGGCAGCGACGGCCCCACGAAGACCTGCCGCAGCTTGGCGCAGTTGTAAATCTGGAACGTGCGGCCGAGCGACGCTGTCACGAACGTCTCGCCTCCGTGCTGCACGACCGCGACCGGCAGCCCGGCAGAGACGAGGCCGACGGCGCGGTACGGGACGAACAGCTCGCCACCCTTGGTGGCAGAAGGGACGGACATCGGCGGCTGCGGTCGCGGTGCTAGCACCGCAGCGAATGCCGCGTGCCCAGTCGGGTTCGGGCTCCGAGCCCAGAGGGAGCGCAGATTCCTGCTGTTCTTTGTTTTGAGCACTTGAGCACTGGATAGGGTCGATTCCGCGTGGTACGGGACCCCTCGATCGTCTCGCCCTCCCTCACTGGAGTGCTCATTGGGGGGGGTCATAACAAACACGGTACAGGATCGAGGTGCACGCTGCCGAAGCAGTGTCGTCCCCCCTCTCCCCGACGGCGATGCTCCAATCAGCGGATAGAAGAATTTGGCAACCCGTGAAAGCCCGCGAAGCGTTCACCGTCGTCTCAAGCGCCGCAAAACATGATAGCTCGGCTTATAAGTCCTCTGTCGAGTCGCCTGGGCAAGAGTCCGACAACGACAGCTTGCCGGGCCAGGGCTACACGTCCAGCCACGCATCGAGTGACGAGCAACCAGCAATCCTGCTCCTCGACGACAGCACATCGTCCTCGCATGCCAATCAGAGAAGGCAGGCAAGCCATCCCAGTGACACCCGATCGACCCACAGCGATCCCACGGCTGAAGATCCTGGCGCGATCGCTAGTTGTTGCGCCCTGCGAACGACTACGGTGTGCCTGTGCAACCCACGGCCGCTCAAGCCGGTGTGTCTTTATTCAACGCACGGTGTGCGTGGCAGGAACGACAACGATAGTGGTGGCGCAACTTCGCCGAACTCGTTCACTGCTTGAAAAGGCTGCACAGAGCGCAGTATGAGCTCGAGCGTTGGTCCATTCAGACTGCGGGGGCAAATGCATACGCCACAACCACGCTCCAGACCGCGCTGCTGATCCGGCAAATTGGAGGACCTCGTGCCTCTCGGCTTCTCTTATGCGTGATGCCAGCAGAAAGGTCGCTGATTCATGCTCAAATGCGGCACCGCGAATCTTCGAAACAGCTGCCGCTGGCATCCGCCGTGGACTAACGAAAACTGCGATCTCAGTGCCCCAGCACGCAAAATTTTCTCTGCGGGGCTACCGCCCCGCACCCCGCCCGGGATGAATTCACACCTCTCAGCTGCTGTCACCTGGAAAACTCATCGGATTTGGGCCACTTGCCTGGGCGACCCCGGACCCTTGGCGGACGATCATGGTGCCCCCCGGGACCCCCCGTGCGGGGGCCTTCAGGTTTGGCCTGGAAATTACCCTGCGACCGCCTGGGTATTTTGTCGATTCCTCAATTTTGCCTCAGATTTTGCCCCAGACCAGCTCTCAGACTCAGGCGTCAGGGAAACTCGCGAGTTTCCAGAATGGAGCACCAAACACCCTCTGTTTTCCCTGGAAATAAACGGAAACGCAAAGTGCTGGGGACCCTCTGTTTTCCTTTTTGTTTGCCGGAAAACCTGGTACAGGCCAAGGTGTGACCGATCGAGCTACAAGGGGAGCTTGTTCAGCAGGATCCGGGATAGTCTGACGCACTACCTCACTGGGCCTGAGATCATCGAGACAACACCCTGAAAGTAGATCGATGTTTTGTTGTGTTTGAAGAGCTGCGAAGAAAGAAAAGTGGGAAGGAAAGAGAAAGAAAGAAAACACACAACCCAAGGGAGGGATGGGAGGATAATAAATAAATAAATAGAGCAGTCATCTCCAGGAGAGATGGGCGACGCACGAACACAGAGGCACGGATGGGAGGACGGCAGAGGCACCTGAAACGAATTCTTTCCGGAGAATAGCCTGGCTGCACCTCCATCGCTCGGCACTGCGCGCCAACAATGTCGCTGCTGATCGCCTGCCTCCCGCTCGGCCTTGCCACCGCTCCTCGCGCGCCTCCGTCGCCTCTGGCGATGGCGACGATGGCGCCGCCGCTCGCACGCGTCGCGATGTCGGCCAGTGCAGTCAACCTCGATGCCGCAGCCGTCGACGCCGCCGCCGCCGCCGCGGTGCTGCCACCGACGCCAAAGACGAACGCAGTCAGCCGCAAAGTCTTCGGCATCACCTTCGCGCTGCTCACCGCCTTCGTCGTGACCGGAATCTACCCGCTCGTCATCTCCGCCACCATCTACTCGAAGCTGTTCGACAACGAGCGGCGGCGGGCAAACGACTACGTGGTGCAGTGGTGGGCGCGCACGACGCTGACCCTCTTCGGGGCCAAGGTGGCGCTCGAGGGGCAGGAGAACCTTCCTCCGCCGGGCGAGGCCGTGATGTACGTCCCGAACCACTGTTCGTTCCTGGACATCTTTTCGCTCTCTGGCTTCCTGCCGCGCCGCTTCAAGTACATCTCCAAGATTGAGATCCTGCGCATCCCGCTCGTCGGCTGGGCGATGGGCTTTGCCAAGCACATCGCGCTCGCGCGCACCGATCGAAAGTCACAGCTCAAAACGCTCAAGGAGGCGGTCGAGACGCTCAAGGCAACGCCACCTCCTCCTCTCTCCGCCTCCGCCTCCTCCCTCTTCCTCTCGCCGCTGTCTCCGCATCTGTCTCCTACCCATCTCCCCTGCTCTCCTCTCCCACTCCTGCTCCTCTCTCTCCTTCTCCCCCACCGACCGCGACCCAACTCCGCGCCGCCCCCTCCGCCCCTCCGCCCTCCTCCCCTCTCAGGCGGGCAACTCCCTCGTCACCTTCCCCGAGGGGACACGCTCCAAGGCCTCCGCCGCCCGCCGCCCCTCCCTTCCCCTCCTCCCTCCTCTCACCTCTGCTCCCCTCCCTCACCCTCCCCTCCTCTCCCCTCCCTCCCCTCCCTCCTCTCCCCTCCCTCCCCTCCCCTTCCCCTCCCTCCCCGCTCCTCCCCCTCCCTCCCCCCTCCCACCCCACCCCCACCCCTCCCCCCCCCTCCGTCCCTCCCGGCAGGACGGCGTGCTCGGCAGCTTTAAGAAGGGCCCCTTCACCATGGCGGCGCGCGCCGGCGTGCGGATCGTCCCCATCTCCGTCGTCGGCGCCGCAGCTCGCGACTTGGCGTACTCCTCTGCGACTCCTCCCCGGAGCCGTCTCGGCACCTTCCCTGTAGGCACGCACGTGTTTGGGACGGGCGCGCTGCCGATCGCCATCCCGCGCGGCGTGCGCATCATCGTCCACCCGCCCCTCGACGCGCCGGTCGCCAAGCAGGAGGACGAGTCGATGGCGGCCGCGCGGGCGGCGGTCCTGTCGGGTCTTCCTGCGGCGATGAGGCCAGCCGAGGCGTGAGCGCGACCCCGACTCATGTGGCCATGCGTCCTGGACGGAGGCGCACGGAGCTCGCGCCGAACGGCTGGGCACGTGTGATTTGCGCACTGTGTCGTGCGGGACGCGACACACATTGGATGTCACAGATAAAAAAGCCGTAATGCGCACACCGGCGCGGGCACCGGACAAAAAAGATAAAAGTGGCTCGACTCGGCGCTGGCGGATAACGCGCACGGCCGCACGCGCATCGCGCTCCCCTCCCTAAACGAATAGGCATGCAGCTTTTGCAGGGTGGGATCGCACTCTCCTTCTCTGAGAGACACATCACACTACACACTCGGAGCTGTAGCCTGTACTCCCGCGCCATGGGTCTGCCGCTTTTCCCCTCGATACACTCAAATATGGTTCCGAAACGTCAAAGTTGCGGCAAGCTTCCCGGCGTCCCACCGCAGCTAGAAAGGCGGGCTTGCGTTCCGCCGGCGGACTCCGAGGGGGAGAGTGACGCCCCCGCGCCCTCGGCGCCGCGGCGCCTCCGGAGCCGCACCGCCATCGCCGCGAGGGAGAGCGGCACCAGGCACAAGCCGACGGTGGCAGCAGCGTCGAACGCGCCCTCGCCCGGCTCCTGGTCGGGCGACGCGTCCGTGTCCCACGAGGCTCCGAAGAGCGCGGCGGCGGCGACGCTCGCTGCGAAGAGCACGCCGCCCGCGCAGGCGCGGAAGGCCAGCGACGCGCGCTCGACCCGCCCTCCGCGAGGAGGTGCTGCTTGCGCCGCCGAGGCGCGCTCCTTGCCGCCCGTCGCTCGAGCAGCCGCGCCGGCGCGACCCGCGTGCACCGCGGTGGCGGCGACGCCGCAGGAGAGGCCGAGCAGGAAGCCCATAGCCCACTCGGCTGCATTGTTCGCAAAGGAGGAGGTTGCGAAGGAGTGGACTGGGTAGGTGACTGCCCGTTTGACCAGGTTGTACGCAGGGTAGACGGCGACGAGGCTGCTCAAGAGCACGACCAATGGCCGGCGCGGAGGTAGCCGCGGCGCGCCAGCACTCGCCGCCGCCGCCTCCACCGGCGGCAGCAGGAGGATCGACAGCCCGCCCTGCACGCAGTGGCCAAAGCTGTTGAACTCGGGCAGAAAGGAGCTGTTGGGCTCACACTCGTACGGCACGTCAAACGAGCGAGCGTGCACCTCCTTGCACTTGAGCCCAAAGTCGAAGGCGGCAGGGTAGCCGCCGAATCTTCCCGCGCAGACCAGCCGAACTGCGAGCTCGAGCGACAGAGAGAGGCCGCCGACGAGCAGAAGTGAAGCGCCGGCATCGAGCCGCATGTCTGGCCAGTGGTTGGCACGACCTCCTAGCGCAGCGCCAGCGCCGAGCCAGAGGAGCGACAGGGCGAGGAGGCAGGCCGGCAGCACGTAATTTGGACGCGCTGTCGGCTGCAGCGTGAAGGCGGCGAGCGAGAGGCCCATCGAGGCCAGGCCGACAAAAAGGATTAAACCGCGGAGCCACGGTGTGTGTGCACCCTGCACCGACCTTGAGCGGCCGAGAGTCATGGCGGACGAGGCTGGAGGCTGCATATTCAACTGGCCGAGGCGGCCATCGCGCGGTCTACCGACCCCCCTCAGGGGACTCCGCCGGACTCTTTCGAGGTCTCCGGGACTCTTGACCTCGAGAGAGCGTGCGTGTGCCTCTGCGGACCAAGCGGCGGACGAGCCCGATCGATTCATCGAAGAAAGAATTTTAAACCGGCTGATGTAGGCTGGAGCGTGGCGGGTGGAGAGGTCGGAGGCCGCACACATGAGAACGGTCCTCTGTTTATTTATTATTGGAGATTGCCCGACTTACTGGTGCGAAGAAAGAATTTCCGATCTTCCCGTCTTAGTTACACACACGGCAACCCGTCTCCCCTCTCCACTCCCTCTTATTCTCATCCTGTAATGCGGAGTGTACAATCTACAAAACCCGCACTGTCATCACCTCTCAACCTCCGCTGCTCTCGCCGCCGCGCCCGGCCGCCCGCCGCTTGGCTGCCTACTCGAGGGGCGCATGTCGTAGACCTGGCGGTCCTCGTCCGCGGCGTTGTAGATGCAGACCGCGATAGCAAAGCCGCGCGGGGTGAGAGACCGGTCTGCCTCCTTGGTCCCCTCACCTCGACCAATGGAGACGACGCCCTTAAACGCCGCGTCGACCTTGACCTTTCTATGCGGAGGCATTCGGAACCCGTTGCCCGTCCAGAGGCCGGTCCGCTTCTTGTACGCATCCATCGCAGGAAAGCCAGAGCTGGGCTTTGGGTCCGACTTTGGCAGATAGCCACCGTAGTCGCAAGGATCGAAGTCGAAATCTGGGCCGCGCCAGAGCTTTTTGAGGGCGCCCGTCTCCGGGTTCTCCAGATAGAAGCGAGGCTTGCTCGGCCATTTCTCGATAGCCTCGGCCAGGCTGGAGCAGCGGTCGGCGGCGTTGTGCTGGTACGCCGGATTCTTCTGGCTCTTTCTGCTGCGGTTCGGCCCATCCAATTTGCTCAGGTCATTGCAGGGAGGGAAGCCGGACACAAAGTGCGTGTGCGCGCCAAACTCCTCCTCGATGGCCTCCAAGGTGGCCGGATCGTCCAGGTCCGCGTGCCGGCGCTCGACGCCTCCGTCCATGGTTGGCTTGCCCTCGGGATGCTTCCAGTCAAAGGCGACGCAATTGTAGCCAGCTTCCGCCCATGGCCGCAGCGCTTGCAGCGAGTGGTCATACAGGCTCACCACCCACCAGCCTCCGCGCGGAGCCACCTTCACCTTTGGGCGCCTGTCTGCATGTTTCGCATTGAGCCAGTCGGATATGGTCGGCTGCGAGTCGCTGCCCATGTTGGGCTGCGAATCCGCCTGTGCCGCCAGCTGCTCCCCCTTCCCGCCCGTCGCCTCCCCATCCGCCTCGTCTACCGACTCCTCGTCCGTTGCTGTTCCGCTCGCCGACTCTGCTCCACTTGGCGTCTGTGGCTGCGACTGCTCTGTCGCCTGCTCTCCAACGCTCGGCTGCTGCTCCTCCTCCACTCCTTCTGGCGGATCAGACGGCACGCTGGCAGGCGGAGCCTCAGCAGCGCGCACTCGCTTGTGCTTTTGCCCAGCCTGGCTGAGCAACACGCCGCCTGGCTCGCTGCTTGGTCCTGTGCCAAAGCCAAATTCGAGCCGCTTGCTTGTACGCGGAGCGGCCGGCGCTCTCGAGTCGAAAAGAGAACGCGGAGCCGTTGCTGGTGCTGCCGACGAGGCCGGCGTCACGGGGTCGGGATGCGCTATGTCGGCCCAGGCATCGTCCCATTCAAAGTAGCCCCGGGTCGGCGTGGCGGGCGCCTCCACCTCCCTCTTCTCCGCATCCTTCCTCACCGCCTCCGTCCCCACGGCGGGTGTGGCGGGCGTAGCGGGGTCAGGATGCGCTGCGTCGCCCAAGCTGGCGTCGCCGCCGCTGCTGCTGCCGGCGCCGCCGCCGCTGCTGCTGCTTGCGGACGCACCGGCGGCGGCGGCTTTGCTGGCGAGGAGGAAGCCGGCGCGGAGCGGCCAGAGGCGCGCAGTCGCCCGCCGCCGCTCCTCCGCCTCGCGCTCCCCCGCCTCTGCCCGCTGCTTCGCGTGCCGCCTCTCCTCCGCCTCGGCGCGCTTGGCGGCCACCCGCGCGCGCTGCTCCTCGCTCAGCGCAGGCGTCGGCGCCGCCGCCTTGCCGAACCCCGCCGCCGCCTTGCCAGGCGGCGCCCCCGAAGACGCCCCCGTAGCGCGCCGCTCGAGCGCACGCCGCCGGTTGAGCTCGGCCCTCTGCCGCTGCTCCTCGGTGAGTGCAGCAGCGCCGCCCACTTCCCCTCCTACGCCTCCGCCTCCGCCACCGCCGCCGCCGCCGCCTTCTCCTCCTCCGCCGCCGCCTCCTCCTCCTCCGCCACCGCCGCCGCCGCCTCCTCCTTCGCCCCTCGCCGAGGCGTGCTCCTTGCTGTCGTGCGCGCCGCTTTCCGGCATGGGCGCGTCACTCACAGCGTGCTCCCAGGTCGCGTCCGCAGTCTCTCCATCCGCCGCCTCCCCCACCTGGCTTGCCTCCGGCACAAGCATCGTCGCCGTCAAAGTAACAAGTGGTACCCCATCGGGTGTCCGCGGCACTGTCCCCGCTGGTAGGACAGTGATCGCCGCAAACCCTGTGGTCAGCTCCATATCATCTCGGATATTTTTTGTAGGCACCGGAACGCCAAAAAACTAGTATGTCTTCGAGTGAAAAGTAATCCGAGCGAACCCGCGGCCGCAATGAATTAAAAGGGGCGGTTTTCGAGGGGGAATCTGGAGAATCTGGGAATCGGCTCACCACCGACCCCCACCTCATCGAAAAACTTTTCACTCCAAGACATACTAGTTTTTTGAGGTGCTCTACAACCTAGGCACGGTCGCCGTCGCAGCGCCAATAGGCACCGCTCGCCAACAGGTTAGCCGCATACCGAGGCGGGTCCGTACGTGAACGCCGCAGGGTCTCAACCCCTGGGCCAGTTGTTGGTGGAACCACCTCAAGGCCGGCGCGCGTGCGCGGGCGATGGACTACGCCAGCAGCTCAAGGGCTTGCTCCCTCCTCACCACCGCGCGCGCGCTGCTGCAGGAGCGCCGCGTGACGCACTGCGGCATGCCGCACTGCGACATGCCGCAGCTGCACCGTTTCCCTCCGGACACCATCGTGAACTCGGTGGCCTGCGAGGACGCGGTCAGCACCGCGCCGGATCCTGGAGGGAGGGTGTAGAGGATGTAGAGTGTAGAGCGCTGTAGAGATGTAGAGATGTGGAGCGCTGTAGAGCTGTAGAGCTCTACATCCGGCGCGGGACAGAGCGATGCAGATGTAGAGCACTGTAGAGCGCGATTTTGCTGTAGAGTTTGTTGTAGAGGCTCTACAGCAAACCCGCCGGGAAGGCAGTGACTCAAAGAGGTCGAGCCGCACTAGTGGGGTGTCTCCGAGCTTGCTGGAGCTCTGATGGACGGCCCTGACTATCACTGACACACAGAGAGTCACTCTGACGGCACACAACACCCTATAACTGCGTCATGACCAGCCTGCCATGCGTCGCCGGTGCCGCATTCGTCGCAGTGCTTCTGTAGCAGGCGGTGGACTGTCGGCTGCGAGGACGGTCGCATTTGCGCGAGGCGAGGCGAGCATTGCTGAGCGTTGCATGCGCCATGCCTCGCGCCAGCGCGTGCGGGAGCTCCTGGCTGAGCGTTGAGTCCAAGCGAGTTGCGCTGGCCACGATCGCTACGCCGAGCCGAGCTGACGCGCCGAGGCGCCGGCCAGTCGCAGCCGTGAGGCATGCCACAGCAGCAGAGGCACCTGCCACCCATTGGGCGGGCAGACAGAAGGCCAGGGCAGCACTGGCAAGTGCAACGCGCCTAATGTCGGAGAGCGACCGTGCCTCTCGTTCGCCGCTTATGATGTAGAGTTTGTTGTAGAGATTTCACGTTGTAGAGCGCCTCTACATCGCTCTACATCTGCATCGCTCTGTCCCGCGCCGGATGTAGAGCTCTACAGCTCTACAGCGCTCTCCAGCGCTCTACATCTCTACAGCTCTACAGCGCTCTACACTCTACATCCTCTACACCCTCCCTCAGGCCGGATCTCTCCTGAGAGCCGGCGCGGATCGCGGATGCAGCTTTAAGGCTCTGCCGGCGGATCTGTGGCCTGGCGTATGCCAGGCTGCGGGTCCAAAGTGTCCCGGCGCGGCGCGCGCCACCGCCCCTGGCGTGGGGCGGGATGTCAGTACGTGACCAGTACGGTGTCCCTGTCCCTGTGCAGTGTGCTCCACCTTGCTCCTTGGCTTGAGTCAGGCTTCGGGCCTGGCCTAATCGCTCGCGCGCGGGTGTGCCTGCTTGGCGCAAGCCAAACAGCAACAGACACTTATGGCTCTCTGATGCCCAATGCCCCACTGGGCCAATGCCCCACTGGGCCGGGAGCAACCTTAAACTCCCTCGCACGAAGAAGAATTTGCGACGCTCGCGAAGAAGAATTTTACGAGCCGCCGTCCTCCCATCCCTCCGTTAAAGAAAGAAAGAAAACAGACAACCCAAGGGAGGGATGGGAGGACGGCACGCCGCCACCACACAGGGATTTTAAGGAGAGGTGTGTGGTGCGCTATCCGTCGCCCACCCTAGGGAGTCTGCCTCTTCCTATCTCTCTTCGCAGTCTCTCGCCGATTCTCGCTGCAACCTTCATGCCACCTCGCGGTCGTCCCACCCTCGTCGTTCTCTCCCTTGTCACTTCCTCCTCTGTCGCGTCGTTCTCTTCTGCCTCGTCCTCCGTTGTTATGTTTTCTTTGGCCGCAAGAATTCTTTTTTACGAGCGGCTGGCCGGGACTGGCCGCGCTCCCCACTCCCGTTCCCTGTGTCCCTAATCGTCCTTCCAAGATCCTGCTCGTGCAGGTGGGGCCACGCCAGCGCCCTCGCTGTCATCCGGCGCGACGAGGCGATAGTAGTACGGCATGAGCCAGGCAGCATCTCCCAAGAAGAAGGGGCCACGGCGACGAGGCCCCCGGCGATCCAAGCGGATCAATGAGACGAGCCTGCAGCCCAGCCACGAGCCTCAAGCTCCATGCCCAAAGCGCACACGCACTACGTCGCCGCTGCCTCCGCCCTCCGCCGTCTCGCTGCCTCCGCCGCGCCAGCCGTTGCCGCCGCATCGGCTTATCCTCGCCCCGATGGTCGGCGGCAGCGAGCTGGCCTTCCGGCTCCTCGCTCGGCGGCACGGCGCGCAGCTATGCTACACGCCGATGATCCGGTCCGAGGAGTTTGCCGTCCCACTGCTGGAGCGCCACGCCGACGACTGCCCGCTGGTCGCCCACTTTTCGGGCAACGACCCGCTGACGCTGCTCGACGCTGCGAGGCAGGCCGAGCGCTGCCGCGGCGTGGTGGCGGTCGACCTCAACCTCGGCTGCCCTCAGCGCGCCGCGCGGAGCGGCAGGTTTGGCGCCTTTCTGTGCGACGCCGCGGACCGCGCGCTGCTGCTCCGGATCGTGAGCACGCTGTCGCGCTCGCTGTGTGTGCCGCTCTTTTGCAAGGCGGAGGATTCTCAGCCGCAGCCCTCGCCGCCTCACCCACACACGCTCCCCAACCGCCGCTTCGCCGCCGTTCCCCCGCGTCTCACACAGATCCGGCTGCTCGACGAGATCGACGAGACGCTCGCCTTCGCGCAGCAGCTGCAGGACGCGGGCTGCGCGCTGCTCGCCGTGCACGGACGCTACCGCGGCTCTCCGATGCGCCGGCGGGACGGGCCGGCGCACCTCGACCAGGTCGCCCTCATCAAGCAGAGGCTCTCCGTCCCGGTCGTCACGAATGGCAACGTGCGCAGCGGCGCGGAGCTAGTCGATTCACTGCTGCTCACGGGAGCAGACGGGGCGATGACGGCGGAGGGGGCGCTCGACGACCCGGCCATCTTCGCGAAGGCCATCGCGCACGCGCACGCGGAGCGGTCGCGGCTGGCGGCGGAGCGGAGGCGCGCAAAGGCGCTCAAGGCGCAGAGGCGCGACGGGAGGCACCTTACGGAGGAGGAGGCGGCGGTGGTCAGAGGCCGGAAAGCCGCAAAGGCCACTCTCGCCCAGATCAAGGCGATCTCGTCCGCCTTGCCACCGCCGCCCAGCGCCGCGCCGCCGCCACCGTTCGCGCTTGCCGAGCAGTACATCGGACTGGTGGAGGAGCACCCGCCGCCCGGTGGTGCAGCCGCGCTGCTCTCGCACGCCGTCTTCCACCTGAGGCGGCTGTGCCGCACCCCGCTGGCAGAGTTTGGGCTCCTCGCCGACCTCGAGGCATGCAAGAGCCTCGCAGCGTGTGCGGACGTGATCCAGCGGTGCCGCGCGTTTGCTGAGGGCTCGGAGGCGTTCCAGGGGCGGCGCCGCCCGCCGTCGTATTGGCGGAGGCAGCAGCGGCGGAAAAAGATGTGATCGGTATTTTCGTGTTGCAGTATCCGTGAGTGTGTCATATCAAAACCGCGCCCGACGGAAAGGCGCCGACCCGTAACACACTGTAGCTGTGGGACCTTTGCACACGAGCTGACAGAACCCTCCGCAAAACGAACCCGTCACCATTCGCACGGCTGGTAGTCCTTCACGAAGCGGCCGTACACGGGCGGCTCGCCGTTGGCCGCCGAGAGGATCGGGTCGAGGATGCGCGCCGCGGCGTCAACCTCGTCGAGCGGCGTCTGGAAGTGGTGCTTCTCGGCCGTGCGCGCCGCACGCTGCAGCGGGTTCTCGTCGTTGATCCAGCCGGTGTCGATCGAGTTCATGTAGACGCCGTTCGCGGCGAGCTCCTCGGCGCAGGTTCGCGTCATCATGTTGAGCGCCGCCTTGGCCATGTTGGTGTGCGGGTGGTTGGCCGTCTTGTACCGGTAAAACTTGCCCTCCATCGCAGACACGTTGACGACCTGCCGCGCGGCGACGGGCGAGCGCTGCAACAGCGCGCGGAGCCGGCTGTTGAGGATGAAGGGCGCGAGGGTGTTGATTGCGAGCACCTATCCCCACGCCAGGCCGTCGGGTGCAGACGCGCGAGGCACCGCCCGCCCGGCGGCGGGAGCGCGCCTCCGCCACCTCGCCGGTTCGCACCTGCCCCAAGCGGAGCAGCCAGCTGTTGGTCGTCCGCAGGTCCAGCTGCTGCCCATTCACGTCGTGCGCCCCCGCCGGAAACAGCGCCGCCGCCTCCTCCCCGCCCGCCTCACCCGCCTCGCCCGCCTCTCCCCCGTCCGCCGGCGCGCCCCAGACAGGGAGCTGCGACCAGAGCGCCGATGGGACGGCCGCTGCCGGCGCGGCCGAGCCAGCGCCGTCGGCGGGCGCGCCGACTAGCCGGCCTCCCTGCGGCACGCCTTGCGACAGCTCGCCCTGCGAGCGCTGCGGCGGCGCCGCCAGCGGCGCGAGTAGCTGCTTCGTGGCGGGCACAGCGAGGGCGGCGGCGGCGCCAAAGCAAGCTTCGTGGAGGGCCAGGCAGCGGCGGTGGTCGGCGGGAGCCTCGTGCGGCGCCAGCTCCTTCTCGATCAGGTGGCGGTAGTACTGCGCCGGCCTGCGGATTGTCTGGCACGCGTTGTTGACGATGTCGGACAGGTGCGCCTCGGTGGCGTCCAGAAAGGCGCAAAAGCGCTCGAGCGCCTCGAGGTCGCGCAAGTCGAGCCCGAAGATCTGCAGGTTGGCCGACCAGCGGTCAAAGTCGGGCAGCGCCGCGAAGCGCGCCGCCGCATCCACCGGGAAGCGGGTCGTCGCCAGGACGCGCGCGCCGCACCGCAGCAGCTTGAGCGCCGCCTGAAAGCCAATCTTGACGCGCGCGCCAGTGAGCAGCACGACGCGGCCTCGCAGGTCGGCGGTCTGCAGCCGCTTCGCCTCGTTGAGCGCCGCGCAGCCGGGGCAGAGGGAGCCGTACAGGTGGTGCAGCCGCCGGTACCACACCTTGCAGATGTAGCACGCGCGGAGATGGAGCAGCTCGCCCTCCCCGTCCGCCTCGCCGCGGCCGCGCGCGAGGAGGCCCGATCCTCGGTCGGATGCACCCTCTTCGGTCGCCTCTTCCGCGCCCGCCTCGCGGAGGCGCGCCTCTGGCTCGCCGCTTCCGCTCGCCTCGCCTGGCGGTGGCAGCGCGAGCGGCGCTGTGCTGTCGCCGCCGGTCTGGCGGTGCTCGAGGAGCAGCCCATCCACCATCCCGACGGCGCCGTCGGGCACGCGCGGGGCATCGGCCGACTCCAGCGCGCCGAGCATCTCGAGCCGCTCGCGGCGCATCCGCGTCTTGTCTGTTGCGGCCCGATCGAGTGCCTTTTGCTGCTGCTCACGCCGGTGGCGCTCGCGCTGCTTCTCCTTGCCTGCTCGTATCTTGTCGATCCTGCTCGCGCCCGTCGTCGACCGAAAGTCCTCGATGAGAGGCAGTAGCGCCAGCCGCAATGGCTTGAGTCGAGGCGTGTAGAAGGCCTCGGACGGCTTGGCAGCGGCATCTCCCTCAGCGGCGGTGCACAGCCGCCGGAGCACACCGATGCACGCGGCCAGCTCGTCGTCGGTGATGATGGCCTCGCTGCCGTCCGTCGAGGCGGACACTGTAGATGCGGCGGCCAGCATGCAGCGGCGGCGGTCGATGGGCTGTGCTACACGCCCTGTGCTGCAGTGCGGGGCGCGTGGTGGCGGCGGTGGGCCTACTGATTTTTTTGTTCACCCTTGGGGCCCCCTGTGTGCGGGGCGGGCCCCTGCCCAGGGACGACGGCAAGAAACACCAGGGGTTAATTTTTTTGAGACAAGAAAACCAGTTGGAAGGCCCCCCCCCCCCCCCCACCAAGTTTGACTATATATGTATAACGCCGAGTGAAAACAATAGTGAATGAGTGTAATACAGTAAATATTAGTGTGTAGAAAGTGTGTGTGTGTGTGTGTGTGTGTGTGTGTGTGTGTGACTCACTCACTCACTCACTGTGTGTGTGTGTGTGTCTGTCCCCTGCGAACGCCCCCCCCCCCCCCCCGGGTCAGGGCAGCTTGCTCGTAGCCCGATGGCGATGCCGATCATCCGACCCGCTGGGTGAAGCAGCAGCAGCCAGCAGCTCGGCCCGGCCCCGCCTGGTGCCTGCAAGCCTGGGGTCCGTGGATGTGTCATGTGAGAGTAGCAGTAGGTTGCCGGCTGACCGCGCCCCGAGAGCCGAGTGCACTCCAAGTGCTCCATCCAAGGTTTTCGCGGGGACTGAGGTCTGAGCTGTCTTCTCCCACCTTGTCCTTGAGAGTTGTTGCGCTGTTTAGTTGCTAAAAACCCAACACAACGCACGGCGGCGCACACTTCTCATATGGCCAAGGCCTTGTAGCGCGAGAGGCGGACGGACAGAGCCTCGTCCTAGAGAGGAGCGGGAGGCGCCCTCGGCGCCCTCGCGTGCTGCGGCGCCCTCGGCCACACCGTCGAGCGCGAGACGACCCTGGCCTCGCACTCGTCTAGGCACGGCATCCCCGACCACGACTCGCGCGACGGCAGACAACACGCCGCCAGACGCTCCTGCATGTTGACCGACGTAAAGTACCATCGCGGGCCGTCTCCCCCGTCGATGCACATCTCCATCGTCTGTTCAGAGTCGGCGTCCTGCATGTCGCACTCGGTCCGGTTCCACACGTGCTCAAACATGACGTAGCTCCGCTCGTAACACCACACCGTCGTCTCGTGCACGCCGGCGCTGCCCACGACCCTCGCCGTCACCACCCACCGGATCGGATACTCGCGCCGATACCGATGCTCGCACGGCAGCGTTTCATAGGCTGGGCATTCGCTGCGCAAGCTCACCTATCACAGCATGAGCCGTGGTTGGAGTGCACCTGGCAGACCTGGTGCAAAAGTGGCGGGGCAGGGCAGGGACGGGACACCGCGCACCGGGTCGAGCCGCGACCTGCCGCCGTAGTAGCTCTCGATGTTCGTCTTCTGCGGCAGAGAGGGGAGCGGGGCAGGGTCACGAGAGCGGCGCCCTCACGCTCTCGCGCACACGCATCCCGCGCGCCTGCTCGCAGACGTCGATGCAGGTTGCTCCGGCGGGGGCGAGGGCATGCGCCTTCCCGTCGTTGCAGCAGCAGAACTTTGTCGCGCCCGTCTGCTGGTCGGACGCAAAGAAACGAGCCGCTCTCTCAAGCACCGCAGCGCCGGCCGAGGAGATGGTGACCTGCCCGTGGTCGTATGGGACAGGAGCCGACGGACACGGCCATCGGCCAGCGGGCAGCCTTCCAACTACCGGCGATGTATTGCAATATTGCCGGTAGATGGAAGCCACGAGCAGAGCGGCGGCGATGGGCGCGATGCGGAGGCTGAAAGAGTGGGCGGGCAATCGATTGAGCCCTCTCGGAGTGCGCTCGCGCATTCGCATTCAGCAAGCGCCGCGCGGCTACGTGTTTGAGCCAGGTTGGACGGGGGGCAGTTTTGCCGAGACCTCGACGGGCGTTCCGCCGTCGAGAAGAGAGAGAGAGAGAGAGAGAGAGAGAGAGAGAGAGAGAGAGAAAAGGAAGAGAGAGAGAGAGAGAGAGAGAGAGAGAGAGAGAGAGAGAGAGAGAGAGAGAGAGAGAGAGTGAAGAGAGAGAGAGAGAGAGAGAGAGAGAGAGAGAGAGTCAGAGAGTCAGAGAGGAGAGGAGGAGAAAGAGTGGACAGCCAAGAGTAGCTCTTCCGTTGTGGAGGCACGCGACTCCAGACTGACCCTTTACGCGCCAATGTATCACACCTCACGGTGCAGATGCTTGGGTCATGTGGAGAAGCCGAGATAAACTAGTCTTACTATCATAACAGTACGACTGTGTCCCCGTCCGGGGGGTACCTGCCGGACTGCTGGAGCGGCGCCCCGCCGGGGCGCTGTTGCGCTTCACGCATGGCGGGTCCTCGCGGAGGCCACGTACTCGCGGCAGCGACAGCCGTGGCGGCGGCAGTGGCGCTGCTCGCCCTCATCCGCCGCCGCCGCCACTTGCAAGGCCCTCTCATCGACGCTGATCTGGACGGCACGTGGCCGCTCCCACTGGCGCAGCCAGAGGCGGTGGGGCTATCGACCCAGCGCTTGAGTGAGATCAGCCGGTGGAGCGACGGCTGGGTCGGCTCTGGGAAGCTGCCTGGGCTCTTCACCGCCATCGCTCGGCGAGGGAAGCTGGTTTATGCGCACTCGAGCGGCTCTGCAGACGTGGCCAGCGGCAGCCCGCTGACGCAGCACACCCTCGTCCGCCTCTACTCCCTCACCAAGCCGCTCGTCTCCGTGTGCGCGATGGTGCTCTACGAGAAGGGACTCTTCCAGCTCGACGAGCCCGTCTCGCATCACCTGCCTTCGTTTGCAAACGCGCGGGTGCTGCTCGCCTCGGGCGAGATCGTCCCGGCGGAGCGCGAGGTGACTGTGCACCACCTGCTCACGCACACCGCCGGGCTGACGTACGGCGACTCGGACACCGCCGTCGACGAGGCCTACAAGGCGGCGGGCTGCGGCTGGGATGCACCGTACCACCTCTCGCTCTCCGACTTTGTCGACCGGATCGGCCGGCTGCCGCTCGCCTTCCACCCCGGCGAGTCGTGGCGCTACTCGTACGCGACGGACGTGCTCGGCCGGCTGCTCGAGGTGATCTCAGGCCTGCCCCTCGACCGGCTGATGGACGAGACCCTCTTCTCCCCGCTCGGGATGGCCGACTCTGGCTTCGTCGTGCCGCCGGAGAAGCTGCCGCGCTTCGCCGCAATCTACGAGGCGTCCGAGGCTCCGGGCCGCGTCGGCGCCGTCGCGCGGCAGCGCCGCCGCTTCGAGCGCGGCGGGTCCTTCGCCACGCTGCTCTGGTCGCTCCGCCGGTCTGCCGACGCGGGCAGTGAGCAAGGCAGCGACCGAGGCAGCTGCAGCGACCGAGGGAGGGGCAGCGACCGAGGGAGCGGCGGGGTGAGCCCGATGGAGGGGAAGGGCGCCCCGCGCGCGCTGCGGCTCTTCCGAGAGAGCGACGACCTCACCGAAGTGCTCGCGGGCCTGCCGCGGGAGAGCCGCGCCTCCACGAGCCGCACCTCCGCTCGGGTGGCCGTCGTCTCGTGCGCCGCGCGGCCGGGGCCGTTTGACTCGGCTCTCGAGCCTAGAAGCAGAATACGTGTTCATGTATCCCAACCAGCGCCCGAGAGGACACGTATTCAGCTATATTCACCCGTATTCCGCTGTATTAACGGTATTCTTCTCCGTTGTATTCACGCGGTGCTCTGAATACTGAGGTTGGCGTAGTTCTGCTTCTAGGCGCTCGAGCCAAAGGTGCTCCAGCCGCTCGCAGGCCCGCCCTGTTCACAGCTCCTGTTCACACCTCCTGTTCACACCTCGAGCCAAAGGTGCTCCAGCCGCTCGCAGGCCCGCCCGCCCTCGCCCGCAGGCGGGACGCGGGGGACACGGCCAGGCCAAGTGCTGTCCTCCGTGTCCGTAGGCCAGCCTGTCCTCGCGCACGTCTTGCGGCAGCTGCACGACGGTGGCGTCAACAAGGTTTGGGACACGTCCACAACACACCTCTACAGTACACGCCCGCGACACACCCGCGACACGCCCACGATGCGCCCACGACACGCCCACGACACGCCCCACGATGCGCCCGGCAGGTCGTGCTTGTGCTCGGCGCGCGCGGCGCGCTCATCCGGTCCACGCTCGCCGAGATGGGCCTGAGCCCTCAGCTTGAGATTCGCTTCGTCGACCTCGGCGCCACCTTTGCCAACGGGTTCGCCGCCTCGCTGCTCGCTGCTCGCTCTGAGGTGGGCGAAGCCGATTTTCTGATCTGCACGCCCGACCACTTGTTCGATTGCTCGCTCGTCCCGAGGATGCGCCGCGCGCTCATCGACGCGGCGGGCGGCGACGGAAGGCCGTCGGTCTTCGACGCGGTAGCCCTTGTCGAGGAGGAGCCGGTCGATCGCCACAGGCGCGGCCTTCCGGACAGCATGGTGCGGGTCGCGATGCAGAGCGAGGTTGGCGCCCACCCGCCGCGGAACCCGCTTGCGGCGCGCGCCTCGCGCCCTCCCGCCCCTCCACCCGTCCCTCACTCCCGCCTTCGCCCCCAGGAGCACGGCGGGGTGGCGGCGGTGCTGCATCTCGGCGAGGGCACCATGCCCGAGGCGGGCCCGGCGGTGCGCCACGGCGTCGAGGCGGGGATCTACGCGTGCACGCCGGCCGTCTTTGCGCGGCTCGAGGAGCTCAGCCTCCACCTAGACCACTTCGCGCTGTCCGAGGCGATGGCGCGCCTCGTCGAGCACGGGCGGCTCGGCGGCACGTCGACGCGCGGCCGCCCGTGGTTCGCCTTTGAGCGGGCCCCGGCGGCGGAGCAGGAGCGATTCCACGTCATCGACCGGCGGCTCAACGAGGCGGCGCTCACCCCGCCCTCGTCACCTCTGTCGATGACGAGACGCCTCGCTCAACGGCTCAACGGCTCACCGCGTCCGTCGTCACCGTCGCCACCGTCGCCACCGTCGAGACCGACGAGCAGCGCCTCGCCGCCACCGATCCAGGCGGCGTCGCCGTGGCGGAGGGAGCCCAGCTCAGCCGACCCACCGCCACGCCCCCGCCGCTTCCACGTGCTCGACGACGCCGAGGCGGGCGACTTCACGGTGCGCCGCCCCTTCCTCGAGGCGGGCGGCGGCGTCGTCTCGACGGCGCACGATTACCTGCGCTTCGCGGCGATGCTGCTCAACCGCGGCGAGCTCGACGGCGTTCGGATCCTCTCGTGCAAGACTGTCGACTTTATGAATTCCAACCACCTGCCGCTCGGCGAGGCCGGGACTGCACCACGTTGACATCGAAGGGATCGCCGGCCGACAGTGGCTTCGCGGAGACCGGCTTTGACGGCATCGGGTTCGGCCTCGGCTGGAGCGTCATCGTCGATCCGATCAAGGCGCGCCTGCTCGCGAGCAAGGGCGAGTTTGGCTGGGGCGGCTGGGCGAGCACCTTCTTCGCTGTCGTCCCGCGCGAGCAGATGATTGTGCTCTCGCTCGCGCAGATCGCACCGTCCGATCGCTATCCCATCCGCCGCCAGCTACGGACCATGGCCATGAGCACTATAGTCGATTGAGCCCTGTGCGCGAGCTCTCTGTGTCGTGTGCGGTGTGTAGGATTACGTTCAGGACAGGGGCGTCTGCCTTCTCCCGACTCCCGTATCTCTTCGGACTCGCCCATTCTTTCTCGCAGCACCTCTCATGTCCCAGATGTCACCTCGGTCTCCCTGGCACTCCCTCGCGAACAAAGCGGCACAAGGGGTAGTATGCGTATGGGGGCAAAAACGCTACGCAACACACATATCGCGGCTCCTAGGTGAGGGATGGGGCTGGCCGCCCGCGCACCATACTGCGTACGGCTTTACGCACGCACGCACGCAGCCATATACAGGTTTTAGGTATACGACTTCCGTCTCACGCCGTGTGAAACTGTGAAAGCCGCGACACCGCCACGCCTCGCCCCGTCGCCCGCGAGGCAACGAGCTCCCCACACTCCGCACGCCTGCTGTCTCCAATCTCAAAGTCGTCACCAACGTGATCACAGTAGGTGGTACGCGTGCTCGCCGCGGCCTCCGCACTCACGTTGAAATCCTGGCGGTAGTATGGTGAGAGCACTCGGCAGCGCGGGCCGCCGCCGGCGTCCGTCGCAGGGCACGCGTCATCTAGGGTCTGCCACAGGTGCCTCGAGTCGGAGTTTGAGCCCAGGGGAAGGCGAGACGCCCGCTCGATCAGATTGAGAAGCACGTCCAGCATGACGTTCCACACACGGTCACGGAAGTGAACCTTGTCGAAAGGACGCGGAGTACGGGCGTTGCCGTTGGTGGAAGCGTCAGTGAAGGCGAACGCGTCTACGCAGAAGAGGCGCGGCCGCGTGGCCTGCATGTTTCGGCAGGCGGCGTGCGTGACTCGCCGCGTGACGTTCGTCATCAGCCGCCGCTCCTCGACCAAGTCGGGTGAAGCGGTGTCGTGTTCAGAGCCGTAGACGAAGGGCTCTGCCCGCAAGGCGCCCGCGTCGCCGACGCGGTACCATTGACTAATCCCGGAATACACACCCACACGACCAAATAGCGAAAATCCGAATACCGTGCAAAACCACGGAACGTGGGACGAAGAACGTCGGGGCAAGTTTGGCAAACGCTAAACATGGGCGATCCGATCCTTCCTACGATTGGACGGACGAAATGATCGGGAAAAGCGGGACCGCCATCGCGACCTCGGGCGGGTTCACCATATGCCGAGCCTGCTCGGCCTGCCATGCGCGCGCGCGCCTCGCCCGAGCGCAGCCACCTGCGGACCTGGCCAGCCTGTTCCTGGCTCGTGCCCAGCCTCTCCTTCCGCTGCCGCCGGCCTCGCAGTCCCGCCAGCCATCACGCTGCAGAGCCTGCGTAGACGCCACAGACGCCAATTCTGCAGCCCACAGCCCTGGCAACTCGAGGGCCAGCAGTATACGACGACGTCGAACGACGACGACGACATCTCACACCCCGCGCTGGCCAGCGCCATCAGCCCCTCACGGCCCGGCCCAACCTTCCCTTCCCCACCCTCGCCTCCAGTGCCTCCAATCAAGTCGCACCTCTCTTCTTCAGCGAATGCAGCGGCAGCACCACGTCAGAGGCCGGGCCGACTGGCGGACCTGCATGCCCAGCCATGCCCCCCACTCCCCACACCCGCTTGGATCGATCAGCTGACAGCTCCACCAGCTCCCACCACCGCGTGTTGTGTCATTCATGAATGAAGCATGAGATAGATAGACATAGAAAGCATCATCGAAAGGGGTCTGATCTCCAAAAAGAGCTCTCGGCCTGCCGCGCGCGCCCGCGCCCCGCCCCTTTTGCGCAGCAACACCTTAAACTTCATGGGACATGGCCCTCCAAATTCGGGTCGGAGCGTAGCGGAGTGGCACCCGAGTTTGAAAAAGGACGCTTGCGTCCTAGCCTCCAACAACGCCTCCCCGGCGCAGAGGGGCCCCCGGAGGGACGCTCAACCGCCCCACGCCACGCCGCTTGCGGCGGTCCTATTCCCAGCTCGCGGGGCGACCTCGAGCTTGTGAAATTCTTTCACCACGCCGGCAACTAAGGCCCAAACTCCCGACTCTCCGGACACCCAGGGGCCATCGGCAAGGCATGGGTTCGGTGGAGGAGATCAGCGAGGCGGTCGGGCACGCCTTCTGGGACACGCAGCCAGTGCCGTCGCTGAATGCAGAGGAGGAGGACGCCTGCGGCCCCATCAACCCGGCAGACCCGGAGAAGGTGCGTGCGGAGCCGTACAACCTGCCGCCCGCCTTCGAGTGGACGGACCTCGACCTGTCCGACGCGGAGCAGGCCAAGGAGCTCTACACGCTACTGCACGAAAACTACGTCGAGGATGGCGACGCCATGTTCCGCTTTGACTACTCGCTCGACTTTATCCGCTGGGCGATGCAGCCGCCCGGCGCGCTCGACTACTGGCATGTGGGCGTGCGGGTGTCGCAGACGAAGAAGCTGGTCGCCTTCATCGGCGCCACCCCGGCCGACCTCCTCTGCCACGGCCAGCGGGTCGAGCCGCGCCCTCCGCCGGCCGCCGACAAGGCGGAGGAGGGCGAGGGCGGCGCCGGCGCGAGCGGCGTCAACATTGAGGAGAAGCTGTCGGGCCTCGACCTGGACGGCGGCGCAACGGGCTCGGCTGCGAGCAGCGGCGGCGGCGCGGCCGAGCTCGGCGACCAGGCGGTGGTCGAGGTGAACTTCCTCTGCGTGCACAAGAAGCTGCGCTCGAAGCGGCTCGCTCCGGTGCTCATCCGAGAGGTCACCCGCCGCGTCAACGAGAAGGGCATCTTCCAGGCGCCGCGCCCGCCCCCGCCGCCCCGCCCCCGCCGCCCCTCACCCACCGCCGCCGGCATCGACACCGCCGCCCTCGCCCTCGCCACCGTCGCCTCCGCCCCACCTCCGCCCCACCTCCGCCCCACCTCCGCCCCACCTCCGCCCCACCTCCGCCCCACCTCCGCCGCGCACCTGCTCCACACCTGCCTCTCCCCCTCCCTCTCCCTCCCTCTCCACCTCCCTGCCCCTCCCTACCGCCCTCCCCTCGCGCAGC